TAAAAATTTTGGCAGTGTTGTAAAAAATTGGAAAAAAAATTCTAAAAATCAGGAATAATAATCCGAAGGTGCTCCCAAGCTATCGGCAAAAAATTAATAAATAAAAAAAATAAAAATAAAAATAAAAAAATAAATTATGGCGACATCGGAAAAAATTGGAAAAAATTGTAAAAATCAGAAATAATAATCCAAATGCGCCCCCAAGCTATCGGCAAAAAAAATCAATAAATAAAAAAATAAAAATAAAAAATTCCTGCGGAGTCGGAAAAAATTGGAAAAAATTGTAAAAATCAGAAATAATAATCCAAATGCGCCCCCAAGCTATCGGCAAAAAAAATTAATAAATAAAAAAAATAAAAATAAAAAAATAAAAAATTCTGGCGGAGTTGGAAAAAATTGGAAAAAATTGTAAAAATCAGAAATAATAATCCAAATGCGCCCCCAAGCTATCGGCAAAAAAAATTAATAAAAAAAAAAAATAAAAAAAAAAAAAAAAAAATTATGGCGGCGTTCGGAAAAATTGGAAAAAATTGTAAAAATCAGAAATAATAATCCAAACGCGCCCCCAAGCTATCGGCAAAAAAAATTAATAAAAAAAAAAATAAAAATAAAAAAATAAAAATGAAAAATTCTGGCGGAGTCGGAAAAAATTAAAAAAAATTGTAAAAATCAGAAATAATAATCCAAATGCGCCCCCAAGCTATGGGCAAAAAAAATTAATAAATAAAAAAAATAAAAATAAAAGAATAAAAAATTCTGGCGGAGTCGGAAAAAATTGGAAAAAATTGTAAAAATCAGAAATAATAATCCAAATGCGCCCCCAAGCTATCGGCAAAAAAAATTAATAAATAAAAAAATAAAATTAAAAAAATAAAATATTCCGGCAGAGTCGGAAAAAATTGTAAAAATCAGAAATAATAATCCAAATGCGCCCCCAAGCTATCGGCAAAAAAAAAAAAAAAAAAAAAATTATGGCGGCGTTGGAAAAAATTAGAAAAAATTCTAAAAATCAGAAATAATAATCAAATGTGCCCCCAAGCTATCGGTAAAAAAATTAATAAATAAAAAAAATAAAAATAAAAATGAAAAAATAAAAAATTCTGGCGGAGTCGGAAAAAATTGAAAAAATTAGAAATAATACTACAGGGGCCCACTTAAGCTCTCGGTAAAAAAATGAAAATGAAATTGAAAAAAAATTTCCGGCGGTCTCGAAACAATCTGAAAAAAATTTCAAAAATCAAAAATAATAATACGGAGCCCTCTCAGGGTCTCGGCAAAAAAAAAATTTAAATTAAAAAAAAAATTGCGGCTGTCTCAAAAAAATCTGAAAAAAATTCCAAAAATCAAAAATAATAATACAAGAGCCATCTCAAGCTCTTGGCAAAAAAAAAAAAAAAATTCCAGCGGTCTCGAAAAAATCTGAAAAAAATTCCAAAAATCAAAAGTAATAATACCGGGGCCATCCCAAGCTCTCGGTAAAAAAACTTAAATTCAAAAAAAAAATTCTGGCGGTGTCGAAAAAATCGGAAAAAAATTCCAAAAATCAACAATAAAAATACCAGAGCAATCTTGAGCTCTCGGCAAAAAAATTAAAAAAAAAAAAATATCT